GGCAAACGACACTGGCTGAAGGTGAAGAAGGACTATCTCAACGAGGGGGCCATGGCTGACACTGCTGACCTGGTGGTGCTGGGAGCTTTCTACGGACAAGGCAGTAAAGGCAAGTCTGGAGCTGGCTTACATTGGAGATCTGTCAGTTCAGGAAACTCCCAGGCTTTTTCCTCTTCCTGCCAGAATGAGACTGGCTGTACAGTGATTATGTGCTGCAGCCCATCAGGTGCTGGGCTGAGTTCACTGTGGGGTGTTTGGCACAGCAGGGCTGGAGGTGCTGGGCTGGGCTCCTCAGTTTTTGGGAACCAATGCCCTGGAGCCATCACAGCCCAGCTCCCTTTGCCACCCAAAGGTGCAAGAGGAGCTTGGCTCCTTAACTTCACTTTTTGAAAAGCTGTGGCTTCTCCTGTAGATGTGACCCACCCTACTCTTCCCTGTGCAGGGGGGATGATGTCCATCTTCCTCATGGGCTGCTACGATCCCAAGAGTGAGAAGTGGTGCACTGTGACCAAGTGCTCCGGCGGCCACGACGATGCCACCTTGGCGCGTCTGCAGACGGAGCTGGACATGGTGAAGATCAGCAAGGTGAGAGGGGCTCTGGGGTGGAGGGGAGCAAAGGGATGCTCAGCAAAGGGCTGAGCTGGTGCTGAGGGGCTGGTTAAATGCTGGTTTAACTGCTCTGCCGGGAAGGAACAAGAGTTAAAGCAGATAAACCGCTCTGACACAAGTGAGGTGTCAGCACAGCCAGCTCCTGATGAGGCACTGCCTGGGATTTGTACTCAGACACTGAGTGGGAAGCCAGGCACCATCTGTCTCCTGCCTGGACAGAGTTTTATTGGGAAGGGTACCAATTTTGAGGGGCATATTGCAATTGGCAAAGACAGTCACTAGATGGGGCTGCGGGAGAGAAGAGCTCAAGTCAGACTTAATGCTCCATAACCTGGTGAGTTGGAGTTCAGACGTTTCTGACTGGCTTATTCATGTGAGGAATCTTACTTTTCAAGATCTGACAAATAAACAGAGTATTTTAATATTTACATGACATCCTGAAGGCCATTTGCATCAGGCTTATAGAATCTTTAAAAATGGGTAGTTTTACATAAATCACAATTGGAGCAACGGTGTTATTGTTTCACATGCAAATGACAGGAATTGAGAGCTGTGTTCCAGGTAATATCTGGGATTTTCTAGGTGAGAGAGACTGCTGCAGATCAGGCTAAAGCAAGTTTCATCCAGGCAAAGGCAATGTAATACCTGTATAATAATTTACTTCTAGGTTATGTTTCAGCAATTCTTATAGTAGTAGGTTCATATATAAGTGCTATTATTTTGGGTCTGTGCTTTAATTAACAGGATCCTAGTAAAATTCCACGGTGGCTAAAAATAAACAAAATCTACTACCCAGACTTCATTGTCCCAGATCCAAAGGTAGGTGCTGTCGTAGTCATTTAACTCCATTTCCCAGCCCTGACATAACAATCTGTTTCATGTCCTTTAAGGACATGATCCTTAGTGAAGGATCTTTGACTTAGTGGGAAAAGTAGGTTTTTCTAATTAAGGTGATCCAGAGGGTCCGTTTGTGTATATGGAACGGGGAGGGGGGTTATTGATCAGTTGTTTCATGGGAGAACAGGAATGTGATGTGACCTCCTCCCTGGTGTGTTCAGAAAGCCCCAGTGTGGGAGATCACGGGGGCCGAGTTCTCCAAGGCCGAGGCCCACACTGCGGACGGGATCTCCATCCGCTTCCCGCGCTGCACCCGCATCCGGGACGACAAGGACTGGCAAACGGCCACCAACCTGCAGCAGCTCAAGGTGAGCTAACAGTGCTGCTGCACACGCTGGGCTGTGGGCTCAGAATGCAGGTTTGGGTAGCGGGGTATGAGGTGAAGGCACCTCCCACGTGGTTCCCTTTTCTCAGGCCGCTCGCTGGGTCGCTGTGACGGGAATGTCACTCTGTCACGGGGTCTCTCGAGTCTCCCAAGCTGTTGTGTTGTGCCCTGTCAGGAAAGTCTGTGCTGGCAGTTGGTTGTATCAGCTCCTGTAACACCCCCTGGTGAGGAATTGCCTTCCTCAAGGAGGTGGCCTTTATTCTCTTTAGGGTCATTCAGTTTCCCAATTGGGAGATCATTTGGGAAGTGGCTGTGGATAACCCAGCCCAGTCTGGGGGCAGGTGGGAGCCAGCCAGGACCCTTGGGCTGCACCCACCCACTCCTCCTCCTCTGCTGATGCAACTGTCCTGGTGCCAGCCCTGCAGTGAGCCGGGGGTGAGCTCTGAGCTCAGGTAGTTCCTGCAGTCTGGGCTGTCCTCACACAGCCCTGGGGGTGCTGGCAGCAGCTGCCAGTGCTTGTTGTGCCATGGAAACCAGGAGTGATCCACCCCCCTGCTGTCCTTTAGCCTGTGCAGGTAGGGGAGGGAGAGGCACAGTACCCTCTGCAGCTGGGCTGTTCCAGGGAGAGCAGTAGGCGCTGTTCATCCCTCAGGCTCTGATGAATTAGTGTGTCTTGCTGTGCAGCAGATGATGGGGATGTGGCTTTTGATTCCTCCCTGTGTGATTTCCCTTCGTGCCAAGCAGAGGGGTGGAATGCTGACAGGGAAATGGCTACAAAGAGGTGCGGGAGAAAAATCACCTGAGCAAACATTCAGGATGGGAACAAACAAGAGGAGTCCCTGTAACTCCAGTTACAACTCCTGTCTGCTCAGACATTCACGCTCTGTTTTGGGGGGCAGGAGCTGTACCAACTCTCCAAGGAGAAGGCTGATTTCAGCGTTGGTGCTGGGGAGGAGGATGAGTCCACAGCTGGCAGCAGTGGAGAGAATGAGGGGAACTCCAGGTCTTCCACACCTCACAGCAGTATTAAAACCCCCCCGAACAAGTCCCCTGCAAAAGCCCAGAAGCCAGAAGGTAAGATGGTGTTCCCAGGAGAGGAACACTGGGGGGTGTGCTCTGTGTTTGGGGCAGGCTGGGTCAGGATCTTTGCCTTCTGTCAGAGGCTTGAGGCTCCCACAGCACCTTCCATGTGCATGTCAGGGAGAATGGGCAAAGCTCTTCAGACCCTTAGTTTGGCCTGTGCTATTCCCAGCATGGATTGAATAGCCACAGCTCGGAGGTGTGCTGGGATTGGGAAAAGATGGATGGAAGCAGCACTGATGGATGCCATTTTTAGGTTGGTGTTCCCTGCTCCTGTTCCTGCACGTCACATGCCCTTTGGTTAGATGTTTTGGCCATGAACCAGTATTTAATTTTATTTGGATGGAATTCATGCATGTAATGGGACACCTGCATGGAGGTGATTTCCAGGTAAATGGAGTTTGTGTTTGTCACTGGGGATCAACGTGAAGCAAATTGCTGAGCAGTTTCAAGAAGGATAGTGTGGTGACAGCACAGAGGGCAGGTGGCAGCAGCATCCTGGAAATGAGGGCAGGAGGTTCCCCCCACACCATTTACAGTAGAAAAATGTGTCTTACTTGTTACATTCTAATCCATGGATTTCCCAGAAAGAGGGAAGGAAACTTTTCCATTTTACTGTCTTCACTCTCTCCCCCCATGTTAATACACAACTAGTATCTGGACAGAGCACAGGAATGAGACAAGTGTTTTGTTTTTAGACAGCAAAGCAATCCTTGAATCCCCTCAAAAATCCGAGGAGAAACGAGGGGAGAAGAGAAAAGCATCGGAGATGGAGGACAACGGCAAAAAGGTACAGTGGGCAGGACAGCAACCTCTGTGGGGTGGGAGGAGGCTGAGGCAGTTGCGTCGTCTGCTCACTTTTGCCTTGCACCTGGAAATTCATCCGTCCTTCCCTCCCTCAGCACCCACTGCTGGACATTTTCACGGGGGTGAGGCTGTACCTGCCGCCCTCCGTGCGGGACTTCGACAAACTGCGGCGCTACTTCATCGCCTACGACGGGGACCTGGTGACAGAGTTTGACGCGGCCTCGGCCACCCACGTCATCGGGGACACTGGTGACAACCCTGGTGCTCAGCGTGTCTCTCCCAGGTGGATCTGGGAATGCATCCGGAAGAGGAGGCTGGTGGCCCCGTGCTAGTGGGGCGGTGACACTCCTGCCACGGGAGCAGCCCAGAACTAGGTAGGTGGAAGGAAAGGTGCAGTTGTGGACAGACATGAAATGCCAGCAGAGGTGCTTACAAAGATCCACAGCAACCCTATGGAATAAATTAACTCTCTGAAGAAATGTCACTGCTGAATCCCATTTTCCTGCCCATACTGTAGACACCCCTGCCCTCGCCCGGGTGCTGGGTTAGTCTGCTCGGGTTTTTAAAGTTTGGGTATTTTTATAGATAAAGAAATAAAACTGAAGCAGTTTTTCCTTTGCTCTCAGGACTTATTTTCCAAAGGTTATTCTCTGCCTGGACAGGAAAACAGACCACCCACTGTGTGAAAGTGTTGGCTGCTGTGCCAGCACAATTTTGCTGTGTGGGTACAACTTACACAGAGGTCACGTGTCCTTCTCCTCCTGGTTTTGCCTTTTCTCTCCTGTCCCTGACACTCCACTCGGGGCTGCAAGAGGAGCATTTACACCTTGGTGTAGGTTTCCATATTAAAACCAGGACACCAAATAAGCTTCTGTTAGAGCAGCTCCTGTGGCATTATCCAAGTATCCTCCTGGAGGGTTTGTCTCCCAGGATCTGTTGCTCCCGTGCTCTGCTATTCATGTTGCAACAAGTACAAGCTGAGAAAGGAACTCCACTACCTCGATCTTTTTAGGATAACTGAGACCTCCTGGGAATGTTCAAAACTACTGCAAGTGCTTGAATATTAATGAAATAAGGAGGGGGAAGTTGGAAATAGTTATTGCTTTTAACTGCTTTGCAAATGGCCACGTGCATTTGTTGTCAGGTAACTTTTCTCCTTCAACCTCCTCTCTACTTTGTACCCCCCACTAACAATATTTGAGCAGTTCCTGGCTGAGGTTCAGCAGCAGCTGCAGGATCTGTGCTTTCTCCCCACCTGTTGTAACAGAGTCAGAAACAAAGGTAACTAAATCACATTTCAACTTTATTATAAAATTATAAACCAAACTTCTGTACCAAAACTAGTAAGTTTAACCGTCATAGTACCAAGAGGATTTAACAGAGAATAACATGCCCTTTCAAGTAGAATATTAACTTTTAAAGTCTTTAAACAATGTACAGTGTACATAAAGCACATAAATATTTCCATTTACTTTATTAGTTCAGAATATTATATTCCTTTGCATCATTTATCAGTTTCCTCCAGATTTTGATTTTTCCTTGAAAAACAAGTCACACCTATCCAGAAGTAGAGAACCCACTTTTGCAAGGGAAATAAGAAGAGTCCTCCCTTCAGAAAGCACATTTTGGAGTCACTGGGTGTATCTTCTCATCCCTGAAATTTCAGGCATTGATCTGCAACTTGATTTATCTGCTGTAGAAAGTAAACCTACCCTCTACAAGGCAAAGCACATCTGTCCATAGGAGAATAATCTTCTTCCTGCTAAATTCCCCCAGCCCTGAGTTTATTGAAAAATATGACATGAATTTTCACAGTGAACTTACTAAATTCAGCACTTTGTGTATTCCTGCACCTCCTGGAGTCCCTGTGCCCTCCCCAGGAGTAAACACAGTCACTGCTTACCTGCCTTTAACGCAATGTGTGGAACTGTACCAGTTCTTTCTCACGCTGGAACCTGTTAAACCTTAAGCTAAAGGTTAAAGAACAACTTGACCAGGCAAAGAGGTAAAACTTGGTGTTTAGTTCAGTAAACTGCAGCAGCTGCTGCCTTTTGGTGGAGTTCTGAGACCACCTCAGCACTGCAGGGGTTCTGCTGCCTCCTCAGCCACAGATTCCTCACCTCAGGTGCTTTCTTGGCTCCAGCAGAGCACAGACCCTGCACTCCTGCAGCTGCATTGCTGCTCATGCAACAGTCCCTGGCAAAAACACACAGTTAAATTTGCTGTTGACATTGTTATCACTCACTGCACAAGGAGCTTTGCTGCTGTTCCTGCAGCTGCCCTTCCAGTGCTCCCACAACTGGGATTTGTGCTGTTCCCTGCTGGCAGCCAGGCCAGCAGTGTCTGAACATGGAGTGATCACCTCTCCCCAGAGCCAGACAGCACAGCCCTGCAGCAGGAGATTCCCAGCTCCACAAATGCCTTGGAATGAGTGCACGATCCCATGGTGATGGAAACTTAAGGCATGAGGATTCTGAAGCTTGGCTGTGCAGCAGCCAAACACACTAAGAGGAAAATACACGAGTTACAATCATCTCTGGCAAGTCCTTCCACCTGCACACGCTGCCCAGGAGAGCTGTGAGGGCCTGCAGCTGTCAGGGATCACAGCAGGGACCCTCACCAGCAGGAAGGACAAAATAACTTGCTTTTGATAGACAGCCTGAAGGGAACAGAACTGAAAAACACCCCAGGAGGAGGGGGGGAAGCTGACCTGCAGTGGTGATTGCTCATGGCTTTCTTCCACGATTCCCTTCTGAAAATAAAAAGTCACCTGTACTTAAATATGATTGTGTAGCAGTAGAGGCCTCACTGCTGTCCAGCTGAGTGGTTCCCTCACTAAACCCTCAGGAAGATTCAAGCCTTGGATTCGTAGCTCTTCCAGCAAGTGAAGGCAGTTCAGTTTGTGCTGGGAAGCCTGTGGAGTCAAAGCACTCATCAACAACCAAACCAGACACCTCCCTCCCCGTGGCACAAACGAGAACCACCACACAGGCCAGGCTGGATGCTCACAGAGCCTCCCTCCCAACAGTCCTCAACAATACAAAGGCAACCTTCATATAAAATGATACATTTTTCCATAATTGCACTAGGCTGGAATCAGGGAAAGCGGAGGCATTCTGCCTGTCCTGCAAGCATAACATGGTTTTACATTAAATTAAAAATAAAATTAACAAGCACAGTGACATTTTAAATCTTTGAAAACCAAGCTGTTGCTGGGTGTAGCCTGAGCAGCAAAACAAAGGACACTTTTTGAGACCCCAGTTCACTTTTATTATTCAGAGGAAAATACAAAGCCTCTGGAGCTGATCTTTGTGGTGGAAAGCCGAGCATCCATCTGTCCCCAGCAGAGAGGATCGAGTTATCCTGGGAGGTGGGCGGTTCATGACTGCTGGCACTGAGCTCCAAGGAGTGCAGGCACTGTGGTGTAAAGCACGATGGTGGGAAGAGCGGGGTCGGGCGTGGCTTGAGCAGGACGGTTTTCCCCAAGGCTTCCTCCTTCCCTCCCTTCCAGCGGGGTCTGTTTGTAACTACTTGTAGCGATGTGGGCCGTTTCCCTGGCAGCAGAGGAGGCTTCAGGGCACCCCCAGCCCCCCCAGTTATGTCCTGAAGACGTGCACGGCCCTGATGACGTACTGGCGGCAGATGGGACACTCGCTCATCCGCTTCCCGCACTTGGTGCACGTCACCATGTGCCCACATTCCAGCAGGACACAGTCAATGGGAGCATCCATGCAGATCCTGCACAGGTTGTCCTCGCTGCTGGGCTGCCCAGCACCACCTGAGGGGACACGAGACCACGGCTTGGTGACACAGAGGGAGGTGTGTTGGGTTTGTGTGAGCCCAGCGGGCTCTACTGAGGGGCTTCCCTAATGGAAATTTGCACATGGAAGGGCTGCAAAAGAACCCCCACCCCTTGTGTCTGTATCTGCTCCATCAGAAGTTTTAGCTTTTCCACTGAAAACACCACTGAGATTCTCAGCAATGAGGCCAGGGAAGCAACGTGGGTCTCTCCTCCCAAGTAACCGACAGGACAAGAGGAAATGGCCTCAAGTTGTGCCAGGGGAGGTTTAAATTGGATATTGGGGAAAAATTCTGTCCCAAAAGGGTGGTCAAGCATTGGCACAGCTGCTCAGGGCAGTGGTGGAACAAATAACCCTGGGGGGATTTAAAAGCCATGTGGATGTGGCACTTGAGGACATGGTCAGTGGAGGCCTTGGCAGTGCTGGGCAAACTGTTGGACTTGACCTCAGAGGGTTTTTCCCACCTAAACAAATCCAGGATTAAGGATATCACTTACCAGTTTGATCATCCATGTCAGAAACTGCAACAGAAAAAGAGAAAGTGATTTGGTGAGAACCAGCTGGGGCAGAAACGTTACCAGGCAGGGGCTGAAAGCCCTGAGGGAGTTGCTAAACCAAAACTGCTTTTTGCTGATCCCCACGAGAGGCTCAGGCTGGGCTCTGAGCACGGCAGGTTCAACAGCTGGCAAGAAACTTTCTCCTATCCTGACTTACACAACACTTAAGGCTTCGCAGAGATAAGCAGCACTCCAAAGTCATGTCTCAGTTTTTGAGACAGCCCTGGAATGAGTGCAGAGTTTGGCTCCCTAGTGCTGCACCTGCAGCAGCCCCTCGTGCCAGTTTCTTTGGTGTTGCACAAGCACCAGGATTGTTGGGACACACACAGAGGCAACTGTGATTAAGAGAGAAGGATAAATTCTATCAAAAGCACAAGATACAGGAATATAAACCCAAAGGAGGTGTCTTAAATCTTGTTTCATTTAGAGAGGACAATGCTGAGAGAGATGCATTTGAGGAAACGAGTTGTTTGGACATTACTGAGAAACAAACCTATGGAATCAGTGTTAAAGTAAGTTTCTCATGTAAATAATTTACAAGTCTATGGGGTTTTTAAGTGATGCCCTGGAAGTGCAAAGTGGCACCTGAAAGTCAAGCCAGGTACATTCTCTGTGCACCTCTATCCCCTCACCTCTCCCTGAGCAGGTCCAGCAGGAACACTCTTGAGATAAGATAGAGTCAAACCCCGGCTATGCAGCCACTGTCCTGAGCTCATGCTCTGAATTTCCCAGCTGCTTTTTGGTCACAATTTCCTGCCTGGGGAGGGAATTTCCCTGATCACTTTCCCAGTTACCACGAGTGCAGAGGGAAGAGCTCAGCCAGGTCACACAGCAGCTGTTCTGTGGCTGAGGCAGTGCCCCGTGGGATCTGCCACAGCCACACACCATCCGAGGTGAAGGGTGCACAGCTCTCATGTTGCTGCCACAGGGCAGTGGCTCTCCAAAGGTCCCAGAAGGCTCTCCTCAAACAACTACCAGTAGTGGTGAGCAGAGTTCAGCCACTTTCACTCTAATGTGCAAAACACTCCATCCTTCCTCCCCACTTGCACAAAACAGAAATGTAAGGTAAGTTCTATTTCCTTCTACAAGTGTTACAAAAAAAAAAGGGAAAAGCTGGAAAACAGGCACACATTTGCTAAGCTGCTCACCTAGATGCTGAGGGTCTTTCTCTCTGTAGAGACGGGTCACCCTCTCCATCAGCTCCCACTTTTCACAGCAGCCTTTGTAGGTGACGAAGTTGCGGGCGAGGATCTCCTTGAGCTGCCGCACGGAGAGCGCGTTGATGTCCCCGATGCTCCTCAGGTCGGAGAGAGAAGCCTTCCTCCCCTGCACCAGGTTATCTTCAGAGTCAGTAGACTGGAAGGGAACAAATGGGGAAATGATTCTTGTCCTCAGCACCTAAACCCACAATTTGAATCAACTTTCAGTATCTGCATGAGCAGGAATTCACGTCTGGTTACTCTGAATTCCTCCATCAGAAACACAAATCTTAAGACAGAAATAAATAATTTCTATTATCAGTGTCCAAGTGACACCAGTTTCTCCTCTATATATAGGACAAGGTGCTGCCACAGGAGGGGGTTGGTTGGGTCGGCCAGTTTTCAGTCTCAGTTACTGTTCAGCCACCCATCTCTGCAGTAATGATTCTGTGGTAGCAAATACAGCCCAGGAAACCTGGTATTCCTTGTCATCCAATTCCAGGACACACAAACCTGTGTCTCCTCCTCTGCTGGTGCTTCCTCTGCTGCTTCCTCAGCTGCTGTCACACCGACTGGGCTGGGAGGCACATGACCATTTGCCTACAAGAGGAGATAAAGCTTTCACCAACTGTGGGTGTCCAGAGGGAAATCAGCTCCAGTGCAGAGTCCCTGCAATCCCTGGCCACTGGAAGGACGAGTGCAGCACCAGGTACAAGCCAGGCACACTCACAGAGCATTCCCTGTGCAGCACTCACACAAACAAAACTTTCTGAAGTGCAGCCTCTGAACCTTTAAAGCCTCAGTACAGAACCTGTGCAGTAAAATCCCACAGGATGCTCTTGTGAGGCTGGATCAGGAGGAGACCAAATGTATACATGTGAGTTTATATATGTGTGTGTGTATGCAATCCTTCCCTGAGTGTCACACTGGTGTGAGGTCAGAGCTCTGGCAGCTCCTGAGCTCTCAGTTCAAGGCTCTGCACAACCCTCCTCTAACACAGCTCAGAGTCTCCAGATCTTCACAGTAACCAGACAAACCCTTCTCAGGTGGGTTCTGGAGTGGGCAAACAGGAGACTCCGAGTGAAGGAGCAGCAGCAACAAAGCTGGTGGAAAAAAGCTGAGCAGCTGCTCTGGGCTCTCCATAAAATGAGAAGTGTAATTGTATCTGACTCACCCTCAGCAGCCTCCCTTCCCCTCTGGTTTCCTACTGACAAAGAGGCTGTAATGTTACCATCCTACTTATCCAGGTGGGGACTTGTTAATATTTACAGAGCACAAGAACAACAATAACCATCAAAGAGCCCGGACTGTAGCAGGATGTCATGCAAGTAGAGACAAGAAGCTGAAATGTATCACGGGGCACTAAGGGAAGACAACAGAGCTGGTAAAAACTGGAATGGCAATATCCAGAAAACCAGGCAATTAAAATGCCTTTTAATGATTTGTAAAAAAAAACGTTCTCCCAGGAGAACTCCTCCTTTGAACTAGATTCATCTGCTGAGGAAGCAGAAGGTACACACGTTTTCAGGGAACTAAATACACCTATTAACTCTGTAATAGGACAAGGAGCAGATGTCAAACACTGAGTAAACTTCCCACAGCAGAAAGCAGAAAGACAAACAAAGCAAGGTCAATAAAAAATAATTAAGCTCAAATGCCCCTGACGAGGTTTGTCAGAACTGCAGGTTCATCATAAGCCGAAGCCTCGGCGACAGACTCGGGGTTTGTTTGGTTTGTTTTCTATTGATCTGAGTGCAGGAGACACCAAAAACTTCGCCTACTTCCTATCATCTTTCTCATCAGTTCCAGTTCCCAAAGTGCTTCAGTCTGTGCCTGCTGCCTGGCACAGGAATTAAAGAACAGTATCAACCATTTCATTACACCTGCACGCGGCTGTCAGGAGTTGTCAGCCCCAAAGGACCAGGCACAGGAGCATCTTCTGGCAGTGCAAGTGTGGACCAGGGAAAACCCACCCCAAAGCAGTGCTGCTGCTCTGAGAGTGAATGCTTGACATGCTCAGCACTGCCCACCAAATTCAAATCCCCTAATGAACGGCACAGCAAAATTAGTGACAGCGAGTCACAGCTTCACACAGCAAAACCACAGGCAACATCTTAGGAGTTAATCCAAAACCAGATGAATGAGTTTGCAAAGGATGGTTCTGGCCAGAGACTGTACCTGTTGGTGCTCCTGAGCTACGGAAGTTGAGATGGGATCTGTAGACACCGAAGACTCCTCGAGTGAGGTAGAAGAGGACAGGCTGGTTGGGGGGTGACTCACAAAGTCTTGCTGTCCAGAGGCTCTGGTATTAAATGTGCTTGTTCTTATCTGATCCTCCTGGCTAATTACAGGCTGCCGGCCAAGGATCAGAAACACCAGGTCCTCCTTTTCACGACAAAACTCCGTGGAGATCTCGTGGAGGGCCAAGTAGTCTCGCAGGTCCTTCACCTTCATCTTTATCAGCTCTTCCCGCTGGAAAGCCGTGGCTCGGAAGCGCTGGCAGAGGTGGCAGAGCAGGGGCCCCCCCTCGGGCTGGCTGGAGCACGACGTGCAAAAATTCTTCTTACAGTCCAAGCAGATGTGCTGGTAAAGAGAGGGGAAAGGAATCAAACCCATCCTGTGCCAGGGGGACTCGGTGACCTCCCGTCCGGAAGCCAAAGGGAGCAGCAGCCTCTGCGAAAGCACAGTCAGAACCTTGGGATTCATGGAAAAGTGCCCTGTCTGTTCCCCGCGTTCCTAAATGAGGAAAAGGCCTGATCCCTGAGCAGATCTCTGCCTTCCTCATTTCCCCAGAATGAAGCGTTATATTCCCAGTCAGTTCCCTCAAATGGCAGGAGTTTTCTGCACCTGCTCATTCAGTCTGAGCCAGAGGAAGTCAGGAGATATCTCTAAGGGAATCTCTGTCTCGCACGTGAATTCCAGCTATTTGTAAATATTGCTCTGTGCATTCAGAAAGCTCCAGCACTGGAGGGAACTACTTAAAAACATTTCTCTCTTTCATAAATTTAATACTTGCTATGAATGACCTCCCTCCCACCACAACTTTTTTTCCCCCTCCAATTTGCTGCAATCACTAAATGAATCTTCCTTTCACCGTAAGAGGGAAAGGGAACAGCAAAGCTTACAGTGTAAAGCAGACATCAAAGAACTCAGCATTTATTTATACAACAAAAATAGCTTATTTTGAAAATAATACACCCACTGTGTGCCAGTTAGTGCTAGACAGAAAGTGTTGGAAGTTTTGGAAATATTAGGCCCCAGACATTTAAAAACTTTACAGATGAAATTCTGGTGTTTAATGTTTATATTTGATACTGTTCTGATCTTGTCACTCAGGGCTCGATTTTCAGAAGTTCCAAGCACTCACAGTCCGTGTTGACTTCTGCAGAAACTTGACTGTTCAGCACTTTGGAAAGGCAAATTCTACATTTTCCAATAGGAATAGCAGCAGAACAGCCACATTACGTGTCTTTTAAAAAGCCCTGAGGGAAGAAAGAAGTGGTTTCAGTGCTGGTTAAAGAAGGTGATTCAGAGTCTCAGAGAAGCCAAGCACCTCTATGAAATCCTGACATCCTGATCCTTCCTTTGTGCAAGGAAAAGAAGACACGTGGAGTTGGAGAAGCAAAAAACTCAAGGACAAAAGAGAATTGTTTTATGAATCGGTTCTAGTGATTAAAGAACATCTCTGACTACACAGCTCAAAGAGAGCAGATGTTTCTCATGTTTTACAGGGTGTAAATACCCTACTTGCTTACAAAAGCTCCTTCTGATCCCCTGGCAGCCCCCTGGCTCCCCACACCCCCTTACAATTAACACCAACAGGCCTCTCATTTAGACCCTGGAATACACTTACAGTTCATGGAAAGAATCCCCATTTCCTGCCCAAGCACTTTAAGACATGAAAACTTCTACCACAGAGAGGATCTCTGGTCATGCAAACTTGAAACCTCATCTCAAAAGCCCTGTCTGGGAGCCTGCCAAGGAAAAGTGACTTTCATCAATCAGAAAGCAAGGCAATTCCCACAAAACATCCAGTTTTGACAAGTTTTCCTTAACTTGCTCATTATAAAAGCCATTCATATGTAATTTTTTCTGACCCTGTGATTGCAGGAGCAATCCTGTTTCTTGGGAAGTTTTCAGGGCAGAGACAGGAACTAATGCTTTGTGTGTCTAGGGCAGGGGAACAAACACTCCACAAAGGCAAAGAAGTGGAAAATAACCTCACTGACAACTTGCCCTCTCTCAGCTACCCATCTCTGACAGGGCAGAAATCAGAAGAACTGAGATGAAAAAAAACTAAGCAAAACCAAAAAAAAAAACCAACCCAACAATAAAACCCCCACAAAATAACACAAAAACCCCAGACAAGCCCACTTTTTTCTGGCAGGGGAAGCCAAACTTGCTCCAAAGAGAACCCCTGCATTGCCAAGGACCTTCCAGCCAGAAAAGCCCTGCTGGAGCACTCCCACCTTCAGGTGTCACGTAAGCAGGCCCAGCACAAGGGCTGTGTTATCCAAAGTGTTCCTTGCAAGCCATTAACAGTAATGACAGCCTGCCCTGGTTATCAAATGATACTTTTCAGAAGTCAAAACAAAGCCAGGCACGTCTCTGGCTTATCAGTTCAGCACTAGGCTTCATCTGCAGACAAAAACACCCCCCAGCCCGTGTCTGAGCACCAAGTGTTCAACCAGGCACGAGTGGGGCACAGCTCAGCCTCCAGCAGCTTTTACAGCTTTGATGTATTTGCTGAACTCTGACTACAAGGGTGGTGATTGGAGGCTCTGGGCTCTTCAGAATGATTAGTTTAAAGTGTTGTTGTAAATTAAAGCCTGCTCCCAAAAGGTCAGGCCGTGTCCAGGATGGAAGCTGTTCCTGGGTGTTTGCTCTGACAGCCCCATCTCCCAGAGACACCAGGATGGGGCCCTGATTCCCTTGGCTCTTCCCTGTGTGCAGGAGAACACCAAGTGCCAGCATTCCAGCTTCCACTACTGTTGTCCAGGGGTTTTTAATCTCACACTGCAGCTTGCCAGGAGCCTTTTCCTGAAGTGTGCAAAGACAGGCACCTTCCAGAAAATGTCAGCCAGTTCAGGGCACTGAAATTAGAAAATGGGGGAGGATGGAAGAATAATCCAAAGTACCCACCAAGGATGCCACAGCTTTCTATCAGCAGAGAGGGGGGTGAAGAATCCTTGGTTTAAATTTAAAAGACCTTGAGGAATCAATTTGCTGCAGAAAACCAAGATCAAAATAGTCATCTAGGAAAAGGAAAATGCCAAAAAAACCTCAAAGATTTTTGCTACCATGATTAAATGTTACATCCTTTAAAGATGCTCCAACAGTTACTGGAAAGCACCCTGTAAGTACATGTTCCATTTAAATGTCCCCTACCCTAATCCTTCTGGTAGAGGCCATGTTACATGACAATTAAAATACAATTAAAATATCAAGTACTTCAGATAGCACCACTCTGCTTTTTGGGGTTTTTTGTTTGTTTGTTTGGGGTTTTTTTTAGAGCAAAATGCATCAATATCCTTGTTCTGTGAGAAGAAAGCAACAGCCCAGACTTACCATTTCCTACATGAGTGTCCCTTGTGCATGAATAAAAACGTGCAAGGAAAACCACTTTATGAACTTACCCATCTAATCTAAAAGGGCTGTGGCCAAAATTCACTATTATTTGTGCATTCTCACATTCTTAAGTTCAGTAACACACTATAGATCAGACACTTCTTAAGCCACAGAATGTGGATGCAGAACAACTTTCCTCCCTAAAACATTTTCCAGCAGCATTACAGGACCCAAATAATGCAAATCCAGGCAGGATTTGCTGTCGAATTAAAAGTCCTGTGGCAGCAACTATTTTGGCATCTATACACTCACAAATGGAGTTCACAAACAAGATAATATAAATTCAGGGTTGGCTTTGGGTTTGTTGTTTGTTGGGGCTTTTTTTTTGCTTCAGCAATTCCACACTCACCCTCAATAAACTTCCCTGGCTTTTTCAGTTTGAGCAACAAGTTTGGAAAAGAGACAGGCGGATGAAAGCACAAACATTACTTAAACTTCTTGCCAGAACTTACGTATTTCTTTTTTAAAGGACATTAGTGCTTTTAAATAACAATAAATCACATTTAAGCTGCTGCTCCTTCAAGTGATTATCAGCAGCTTGCCTTTCTTCTTTCCAGCCAAGCCTGCTGAAGGTTAAGTGTTTCCAGCCACATCAAGGATTCTGAATTGTGAAAGAAGGACCGAACACCCAGAAGTCTTTCCCCACATGGAATGTCCTCAAAGCAGAGGCCTCTGGTGAGCACCCATTTCCTTCCCCAGAGGCTCTGGATGGTCAAAGGCAGCAGCTGAACACCCAGCACTCACCTTGCTGGCGGCGCTGCCGAACTGCATCCCGCAGCCTTTGCAGCTCTGCTCGGGAGCCGTGGGAGAGGGGAAGGAGCTGTAGCCGGGGTTGGAATAGGCCTGGGCTCGGGCTGGCGGCGGCTGCGGCTGCATCTCCTCGGGTGAGCCGTCCAGACAGAACCAGTTGCAGCAGCTCGCCCACATAGTAACTGCAAGGGGGAGAGTGGGTTAGGAGCGGCGCGGGGCTCGGTGTGAGCTGCAGTTACGTTGCCCATCATCATCCACTGCTAGCAGTGTCTCCCTTAATTATGATCCTTCCTCCGGCACGACGTGCCTTTGGTGGGAAGGCACAAACACAGCTCAGGACAGTTATTACTAGAATTTCATGTGAAGATAAGATAAATTTTACGTTCCACTTGGCTGAGGAGATTCTAAATTTGCCGTAACAGGCTGTCTCTGTTTCACATAAGCTGCAATCCCTTGGGTTTTGTGCATCAGGAAAAGAAAACAGAAGCCGGAATTATGTGGCATACAGCAGTTAAATAAAATCATGGGTGGCTATTCTTCAGCCTCATCCTAAATCCCTCTACAGATTTACAGCTACAATATCTGAGAAGATAAAATAAAAGCAAGGACAGTGCAGCCACTGATTTCACACAGTGCAGTTCTCAGCTGAATTTACAGTATCATGAGGCTAAATCATCACACACGAGTCAGTATCAGCAATGTAAGAAAAATCAAATACTGGCTTCAGTAACTTGCTTGGGAAAACAACTGTATCTGAGACACACAATCACTTGTTTATTTTTTCAAGTCAAATTATATATATATACACACATACATATAAACACACACTTACCAGAAATCCCAACAGTCCAGCGCAAAAGGCTCAGTTTTGAAGTCTCCAAAGACCACCTATGCAACAGTACTCCAAAAATACACTGCTATAAACTTGCTTTTGGGAGTTTACAAAGAAATCTGAATTCATCTGGGCATTCAGTTTCTGGAGCACACACCATGTGTCATCCCTTATGGGCAGGCAGAATACAAATTGCCTCCTCTGCACTTCTGCTCTCACACAGGAGTTCCTGGACTCTGTTTCTTTTATGTCTTAAAAATCAGGTCCATCACTGAGAGCTGCTCAATTTTATAAACTTATGGAAATCAAACACCCCTAAGCTTCACTCCCTTCCCCTCAGTCAGTATTGCCACTGTGAAACTCCAGATTCCCAAGGGAACGGGGCTGGTATGAATCCTGAAGGTTATTTGCTATAATATACCAACACACTGTTCTGTTGGGGGTTTTTTGTTTGTTTGTTTTAAATCTTTTGTGCTGATGTGCTTGAATTGGGAATCTTTTGCAGTCTGGTGCTGTTCCAGTATCTGCAGCTTTAGTGGCATCTCTAATCCTTTCAAAGATCTCGCTGAGTTTGGCTGGTGGGAGCTCCCACTGTCCCAGCCTTTCAAATCCCACAGTGCAGGCTCAGCCCAGAGCCCTCCCTGCAGGGTCAGCACATTGCAATGCTCGAGTGAAAACCTCCACGCTCGTGACAGGATTCATTCCTGGTGGAACCCATGTGCACATCCTGCCCTGCAGATTGCACTCAGACTGGCAACCAGACCTCAATAAATAGTGTAAATTGCACTTAGGCTGCCAACCAGATCCCAATAAACACACGGAGGGAAGTGCTCCATGAGCAGGAGTAACCTATCACCCATCTCTATCAGCTCTGCACTGCAATCAAACAGCTACTTTAGATGGTATAGATAAAAAAAACAATTACCCTCTTTCTCTCTGCACATTAATTTTAAAGCTCTCAGTGCCACTCAGGAGTTAACACAGCCTTTATATTGCAAAAATACGGAAATCCTAGTTTAAATTGTGCCCTTTGGAGGTTGAATTTGTTCCTAGGAATTGCAAATCTAAACAATATTAGAGCTGCACAGCCAAACAAGCCTCCACAACCTCCCCAGCAGTGGAAAACTGTGTCCAGAGTTAAGCTCCCTTCCTGTTTCAAGGACCCCTGCAAACTGAAGGCCACCCACGATAACTGAATACACAAACGCTACTGCCTGCCCCCAAAAACTGTTTTCCTAAAAGAAGACAGCCTACTAATTCACTCTGGAACATTGCAACATGTCAAACATTGGGAAGAAAAACACAAGGCAGTGAACAAACTGGGATAAAGCAAGACAGAGCTCAGCATTCAGCTGGGGTTGTAGCTCTGTGACTGCCAGCAAATTAAAAGGCCGACAAAAAGGCTCAGACATTTCTTTAGAAGAACATTAATCCTGCTCAACTACAAAAGCATGGAAGGAAAATGTCCATCAACAACTAATAACCAGGACTGTCCTCTGATCTGGAACCTTTTTCCAAAGGTATCTCCTTTTTTGAAGGAGAGCCCATCTCTGTACCTTGTACAACAACAGGAAATACAGGTAAGACTCAGCAGCTGCTCCGAGAGGGATTTTCCCTTTGTTCTGTACAGGATCAGCTTTAGACCTGAGGAAACAAGCCCTGCCACCGGGAGAGCACTTGGCAAGCAGAATCTCACACTGAAATTTCAGGATGGCAGTTTCCTTGGTAACTCTACAGCCAAATGACTCCCCGATTTATTTTCTTACCTGTTCAGAGGTGCCCGGTGAGCACCATCCAGGAGCTGCTCATTTCCCTGGGCAGTGGTTGCAGAGGTGGCAGAGTCTGAGGGTCAGAACTGGGAAGCCCTGCCCTGTGCAAAGCCTGTCTGTGCCCTGCAGATCAACATCTGTTCTGCACCCAAGGAGCTCCACAGCTCCTCTGAGGTGACACAGAAATGCCCAATGCAAAGGGCTGGGTAAACACTTACAGTAACCTGACTAATATCAACGTGACAGCTTGGGAAAGTTAATGACATCATGGATTTCAGGAATCCTCAAGGAATACCCTGAATAAAAGATGTTGGCTTACTGGCAGGACCGACACTGCAGGCATTACCGATCCCAGCGTTATTCCTGGACGAGATGCTCCTAAGGGGTAATGGGAGCCACAGAAACAACTGTTCCACCCACGGACCTGAGCGTGGGCTTGGCAAACTGGAAGTCACCCAACAGTGACTTCTGGCAGGCAAAACCTACCTGCCCTAAATCCTAACTGCATGTTGCACTTGGAGCATCTGCCAGAGCAGAGGGAGAAGGAGTTTCATCAAGGGTGGAGACACAAGATCAAAGAGTCTCTCCCGGACTTGCAAACACATCCACCCACATGGCAATCATCACCTTGGGAAGGGGGACTGTTTTATCTCCTTTCCTGAGCTGCTTTAAGGACAGCCATAAGAAATCCAGTAAGTATTGGCAGGCAGTTGCTTGCCATGTTCTGTGGGCAAAGCAGTGCCAGCACTCCCTCATGCTCTGCTGGACTGCATTTTATCATTTATTTATTTTTCCAGTCTGAAGCTGTGGATGCCATTACTCTCTTCACTGAATTTAAAGAGAAGAGTGAAATTCATTTCATCACCTGTTCATTAACACATTCTATACAACACCACAAGTTCTGTATAAATTTGCAAGCGTGATTTAATTCTGGAGGAAATACCAGTGATGTCAAAGATTTCCTCCCATACACAGTTGAAGACAGGGTCCCTAATGCAGATCTGGATTCTTAAGCTTTCCATCTTCATTAAAAAAAAGTGTTTGAACTCAGGTTCTCACTATATATGCAGCATTACTGCCATAACCTTGCTGGAGTATCAGAGATCACTGCCTACACACAGGAGTTATTACACATGTTATTTGGATTTTTATTAAAGGGTAGGCTGTGGCTGCAGAGGGAAACTGTGGTTTATGTTTGAATATAAAACTTCCCTTTATTTTCCTAAGGGTACAAACAATAAGGGACCAGAACAAGCAAAAGGAACATCTCAGAATCAGATTTCAGCTCTGTGTAATAAAGCTCTGGAGGACCAGGTCTGGCTTCTTTTCCTGACCACTCAGGAATTCAGCAGCTGGAATGCAGTAGCACCAATGAGACACTTAAGGGATCAAAAGGAACTGAGCTCCCAGAAGCAGCTGATTTTACTCCCACATGAGGAGAAGCCACAGGAACAAGTACTTCTGCTCCTGAGAGGCCTTTAACCGCTGGAACAGCAGGGCTGATGATCCTTGAGGCTCTTGCAGATGGAGCAGGGTGCCAAAAAGGGAGGCAGATGCAAGACTGCAGCTTCCAGTGGTGTTTGCTCATGGGCCCCAAGAGCTGCCTCACACCTCCTAATTTACAGAAGGCTCTGCTCACCACAGCTGCTTCTCCATCAACTCCCTGAGCCATCAAGCTCTTCCTTCCACCTCATTCGTCAACAGATCATCCTCCTTGCTACCTCCTTACTGCCTTCAGAACCTGCTGTGATTAACTATAGATGCTCCACAACAACTCCCTGGCCAGCCTGGCATCCACTGTGTGGCTCCTCAACAGCAAAGCCACGTTCATTGGTAAGACACAACTTTCAAGGCAACACACCCAGACTGGGGTTACACTGTTCCCAACAGCAGCAGTCCCTGCCATTTCCAGTGGCTTGAAGATCACTGGAATCTGTTCAGGAGGCCAGAAAAAGGCAGTGTGGCTTTAAAATATTCATGTATTGATAATGCACTTTTAAAAGTACTATTTTCATTATTAATCATTATGCAAAATCAATCAGATCTCACTTGCATGAATGCTGTTCTGAAATGGCTGAAGTATTTCATGGGTTAACCACCTTGGTGCCTCATTGGTGGCATGGGACAGTTGCTCATTATTACAATTTACTGCTTTTTTTTCCAGTAAACCTGCACTGATAAGAAATCCCTTGCTTAATAAATTAGTTTCACTAATAACCTACTTTGGTCAAAAATTAGTTTTTACTTGATAACAGAGCTACAGAATAATCTGCTCAAAAGCCATTTATGCATAAAGCATTATTTTTATCAGCCAGAGACCTGAATTATGATACACGGGAGCAACCATATGTTGGGACAGCTGGAAAAGTCAGCAAACGAGCCACTCACAGGAAGGACAAGGGAAGGAGTTGCCAGTCTGAACATGACATGGTGTCTCAAGCACTACAGAGCACGAGAAAAGGAAGAGATGGGACCAGCCCTGGCTGTCCATCCCAAAGTATGGACATCTCATTTGCTGGATGTAACAACTG